TTATGAACAAATAGTTTTTGGATGACTTAAACTTAGTCATATCAAAAATTGTTTGTGTGGACTAACATGTCTATTGCAGAAAATCAGAGTCCAGTATGTTGTATAAAAGGTGCCTTAAAGAACAAACAAAATAACAAATTATTTATATTATATATTAGCTGTATGGCCAGAACTCTGCTATAACCGGCCCGCCTCACGGGAATAATATCCATTGCAGTAACTTATCATGTTGATAAATTTATTAAGAATAGCGTTTCTATAGAAAAGCATAATTACTTGGTTTTTTTTTTCTGCCGACTTCCAAAAAGGAGCCGGTACTCAATTCGACTGTATGTTTTTTTTTCGTTTTTTTTTTTTTTATGTGTGTTACCTCAGAACTTTTTTCTGGATGAACCGATTTCGATGATTCTTTTTTTATTTGAAAGCTGGTACTTCTCGTGTGGTCCCATATGAATTTGATCAAGGTCAGACCAATAGTTTTTAAGTTATTCTTAAATAACTTATATTGAAGTCGGCTGTACAAAATTTTTAATTTTAAATTATCATAAACAAAGTTACAAAGAACACTCCACACTTTCAAGGACTCTATGAAGCAAATACTTATTCATCCTATTCATTAACCCTCGTTACTTAATGTTCACATACAAAATGCAGACGCCTTTCACTGATCCTTTCCGTTCATATTTCACGAGAGAGGTTATTCCCCGATCGACTCACGCTATTTGCGTGCCATAGCGAATATCTGTGGCTGTGCCATTAAACATAATTACATTATAATATGCAAATATTTCTCAATAAGCCTTCACAATCTAAAGAGTCTTTAGTAAATACCACAGTGAATAGGCGGGGACCGGGGTATTTTTTTTTTATCAACCTGTAAAAGTTTAAAGTACAAAAGTGGAAAGAACGTAAAAGTCGTAACTACGAGTACAATAACTCAAAGTCAATAAAATGCGGTTGCTAACACGATTGCCTAGCGTGGCAACCATGGCAAATATCCTCCTTATGTAGCAATCAGTTTGTAGGTTTATGTTCAACAGTGAACTAGTGTTGGGCTGTAGTATTAGTGTAATAGTGATTTCCATCATCAGTTGGTAGTCGGAGACTTGTCAGTCGGTTAACAGGGTGCACGGCTCATATGCGGGTGAGGTGCAGGTGAGGTTGGGTTCCCTTCTTTCTTTCTTATTCTTCTTATTTATCATACCTTTCCCGTTGTAGAGATAATTTGCCTTATTCGTCACACTTGGCAGACCAATTGAAGAACCCGCATACGTCTCGCATCTTTGATTGTTGCCGCCTGTCGATATTTAATGTATGACCTGGTTATAGTGCCATCTATCGGAACCTTTCTTCAATTCTCGAATCATCTAATATTTCTACAACAAAACACACTAATATTTCTTTACAACAACTAAACAGTCTTAGCAAGGAAATATTAGTGTGTAATAGCGGTGTAAGGATATCCACTACCCTATATCATCCCGTGGGTGTCGTAAGAGGCGACAGAGGGAAACAAATCAGGAGATGGGCAGCAGCGGCTTGCTAATAACGACTAAAAATAAAAACACTGCGGTTGCCAACGCGATTGCCAAGCGTGGCAACTGTAGCAAATATACGATAGCCGCCCTGGTCTCGCCTATGTAGGATCTAATAACATAGCGTTTTGTGTTTAAGATAATCAAACACCATTTATTATATCAATTTTTTGAAAAAATAAAAAGTCGTTTTACGGTTGAAATATAGCCTAGGTCACCCCTGGCGTTACTCTCTATATGTTCGTGAAGTTTCATTATAATCGGTTCAGTCAATCAGATAATAAACACGGATTGACAGACAGACAGAATTTTGTTTTAAAAATTTGGTTACTAATGCATGCTAACAAACCCCTCAATTCAAAATCAGACGGGTATTTCGGACATTACAGACTTCGATTTAATTGTATGTAGGGTGAGTGGGGGGAAGATGAAAAACGGGGTAACACAAAAAGGCATCAGCAAAGACAGATTTTGTGTAATTTATCCAATGCAGGCAACATTCATAAGACCGCCATTTTGTTACGTACCACACCTAAGTCGACACTTGTCGTTTTGAGGGATCGGTTGTAAGGGAATATCTACGCTGTGAATTTTACGCGAGCAAGTCAGGTGTTTTAATCTTACCCCGTGTCGTGTAACTCGTTTTACGAGGTAGGTACGAGTTTTTTATTTGTATACATACTTATTATTTTTAATTGGTAGTTATGTTGCTATGTCTAAATATCGCTACTTTTTGGATTTTAGGATTTATTGTAACATTCCGTCTTTACCCGCCAATATTTGACGGGGTAAGATAAACATATAAAAATTTCCATCTTGCCCCGTTTTCAAAAGTCATACAAATGGTCTCATATTCTCAAACTGTACCTGAAAAAATGTTTTGTTTTGTTACAGCCATTATATAAATTGTCAGCGGCACAATTTCAGCTAATATTATCTAAAGGTATTTATTTTAATTTTTGTATATTATAAGAGAGGCAAAAAGAGGAAGCGGGTCACCTGATGGCTAAGTGATTTCAACACTGCCCATAGACACAAGACACAACAAGAGTGTTACTTGTGCGTTGCCTTCTCATAAGGTATAGGAACAGGATTCGTAGGAATGGGAGTAGGGACTTAAAGAAAGGGGAAAGGCCACCAGACACTCGTTACTAAATGCAACATCACAGCTCCTAGAACAATGCAACGCCACATCGGTTTATCTAGCAAACGTCAACATTCGGGTGGCCTTAAGAAAAGGGGAAAAGGAACGGGCATCCGAAACTCTCACTCACCAGACGAAACATGGCAGCCACTAAGAAGCTAACCACTTCACGCTGATTTTTTGTGAGAGGGTAGTATCGCACCGCTCGACCATGCTCATTTATGTGTTACAGTGAACTGTAGACGTGGATCTACTACCAATTTTTTTTATTAATGTTTAGATATAATTTTTAGAAGTTTTTCTATGTTATTAGTTGTGGCATTTTTCTAAGATCTTATTAATTGGTTAGCTATTTAATTTTGAAATATTTAATTTTTTACGTTTTGTGCTACATATTTTGTTGACGAAGATAGTAAAAGGTACATGTACGTAATTGTGTTGAAAATTATTTTGGCATTAACAATAAAAAAATTATATTGATATCTTTCATTTTCTGTATAATCTTATCCACTTTACTTGGAAAAGTTTGAGAATCTCTAGTTCAATCTTTCTCCGGCGGGGCAAGATTGAAATATAAAAAACAAATAAGTTGTGTTATCTGTGTTAATTTTTTTATAGCATAAGGGTGACAAACGAGCACACAGTCCACCTGATGGTAAGTGGTTGCTGCGGCCCATACACATCTACATCTATCCTACAAATCAAAATGTAGATGCGTTGTCACCCGCGAGGACTAAGATGGAATGCCTCATTTCCAGTAAATAGGGCCTCCGGCCACCTGCACTCACCAAGCGAAACGCAGAGGTACTAGTAGTAGACAAACAAACTACTTCGATCTTTCCCCACCACTCTTTCATCTTTCTCCCTGTTTTTTTCTCTCGATAAAAACATTGTAATTAATTTTTTTTTGCTTTCGAATAAATATAACAGGGATTTATCGATATGACATAAAAATATGCTCTGTGTACTTTATTCACTATAGATATAATTTTAGCTTAAGTTAATATGTACTGTTCTACAAGACGCGAAACACAACACTGCTCATCTCATCAAAAAACCGTTCGATCTTCCCCCCACTCACCCCAGTAGTGTTTAGATATCTAATTAATCGAAAATAGGATTATTTTTTCAATAATCTTACGTATTATTTGAATTTTTGTTGTTTTTATAGTTTTATTAATGTATTTTTATTTAATAACCCTAGCTATAATTTTAATTTGTTAAAAACTAATATAGGCTCTGCCTGAAATAAATAAATAAATAATTCTTGATAGACATGTGTACTTTTACAACGAGGTGTGGTCTATCAATTGATGCAGTCAAGTAAGAGGTAACTAACAACAAATAAAACTGGTGGTAGTGTAAGGCCATTATCCCATTTCGAGACGTCCGATACTGCGATCGTCCATCCATGTGCCGAGCGTGACAATTAAATTTAAACCTCCCTACAACAGAAGAGGCGCATGTCTATTTAATTTTATGGATTATGATGACAATTATGATAATGATAATGATGATGAAGAATGATTTAGTCCCGCAGTTGTAGTAAGTAGCAACTATGGGGAATGCCAGAAAGATCCCATGACTTTAATCAATATTTTCCATTTATGTTTATGACAGACGGAAAAACATCATAACTACTTATAATAATAAATAAAAAGGGTTATTATAATATTAAGGAATTTATGGATGATAATAACCCCTGGGAATAAGGTGATCACTACCAAGCTATTTTTAATTTGTTTTGTGTGGTTAATTGTGGTTACATGATTGTAAGCTATTCTTTAAAAAAAAGTCCCGCTGGGTTTCTTGCTGGTTCTTCCTAGGACAAAGGTTTTTTTCGAACCAGTGGTTCCAGTGGTAATTAAACAAAAGAGTGACTTTCGATAAGTATTATTTACAATCTATATTAAATAAAAAAGTTTCTGTTTCTGTTTCAAATACTTGGTAAAGCCACTCTGCAAGTATACGAGTATTATGGTCGACTCGACCGTTGTAAACCACGCTCTCTTAGAATACCAACGTAAAATAACAGCTTAATGCTGCTGCGTTTCATATGTTGAATGTAGAGAACTGGAGACCCTTTTTACTGGAAACGAGGTATTCCATCTTAGTCCTCACGGGTGACAACGCATCTGCATTTTGATTGTTAAAATTTGATTCTTCTTCGAGGATAAATGTAGACGTGTTTGGGCCACAGCATCCACTTACCATCAGGTGGACTAAGTGCTCGTTTGTCACTCTTATTCTGTAAAAAAATATATTATAATAGACAGACCAACTAAATTGAACAATGTTCAGCTTGCAGGCACAAAGACTGGTTGAAGGAAGGTGCAAAGCGGTATGGTTTAGAAAAAGTACTTCACAATATAGGAGTACACGATGATGAAGGTAATGTGGAATGCATTATGCAATACCTGGCACAACCGAATTACTCACACACGAGAAAATATTGCACGAAAATGGAGAATATCCCTAAAATTAATACCGCTTTTTATACGCACGCAAAAACACAAGTTTGATTGCATGTTAATATGAATATTTTGTTGCCACTGCTTTAATGCATAATATATTGTTATCTATGGCTTGGGCTGTTTACAGTATCATGTGCAGTATAAATCTGGAAAATTTGCCAAGATATAATTCATCACTTCATTCTCTAGTCTCTCCTTTTTTGTGGCAAAAGAGTTTGCGGCTTACGTGTTGGTAAGATTCGACTGCCGCCCATGAACAACTGCAACACCAAGTGAATTACAAGTGCGTTGCCGGCATTTTAAAAAGGAGTAAGCTCGTTTCATGTTGGTTCCTAAGTCGTATCGGTCCGGAAAAAGTCACCGGTGGTAAACCTTTCGACCACAAGGGCGGCAGAAAGATTATGCCTGACTTATAGCAGCTAAAACCCTACATTGTCAGGACTGGAGGAACTCTTCCGTTCATTACCGTGGTCCCGACGGTGATAGCCTTTTATATACTCTTTCTCGTTGATTTGATTTATTTGCTATTTATGTTGGAGCGAACAGGAGCATATCCATCGATCAGATCGAGCGGATCATCCTCGTATCCACCGCCTAAGCCTTAATAACGTCTTATTAAGAGCAAGGCTTACCAATATAGTACTCTGTGTTAATTTATCAAACAGAATGCTATAACAAGAGGTATCAAACTAGTCTACGATTAAATAAATCGGAACAAGTATTTGTATAGCCTACAAATAATTGTTCCGTGTCTGGATGGTTTTCCTCGTGCAATTTATGTTTGTAAACTGTCTCTACGATACAGGAGAAAATTCTAGTGTGGGGGAACGTTTTTTTAAAAAATAATAAAAAAATAAAAAGACGAAATAGATAGTAGCTTCTGAAATTCTATAGATATAAGCTATTTATTTTTTTTTAATTATTAGGAAATTATTTAATTCTTCACTAGCTGGTACACGGCGCGTTGCTGTCACAGAAAAATATTTGTGGAAATCTCGTTTTACATTTGGAAGGGTTTCTATTGTTTAAATTATGAATGATATTATACATTCATTGAAAATGAATGACATATTATTTTCTTTGACTCAAATAAATATGTCGTTACGACACGCGCGCCACCTACTGTAATTTAATTGTACTATGCCTATAACCGTGGCGCAAGTGACAAAATTTTAGGACAATCTGATGAACGGTATGGCAGTGCATAAAATACGAACAAACAAAAATTAAAATTTTATATAATAAGATACTTTGTTAAAATGGGTTTTTACTATGGTTTAAAAGTTTAATTTCGTACATTTTGGCAATATAATTACACAGATATATCGTGCAAAACTCCAAGTGGCGATGCTGGTCAGTGCGTGGAAATATTTGGGTGTCGACCTCTGTTAGCTGCATTGAACAAACCATACAAAACATCACAGGACTTCGACATCGTAAAGAAATCACACTGTGGATATAGACAAAGAATTCCAAAGGTAAGAATGGAGACCGGACGACACGGGACGGCAAGAAAAGCGTGCTTATACTTACATATTATATTGTTTCACAATAGGGTAAAATAATTAAAAATTAAAAAATTTGTACAGTCGACTTCAATATCAATAAGAATAACTCAAAAACGAATGGTCTGACCTTGATCAAATTCATATGGGACCACACGTGGGGAACACACGAGAAGTACCAGATTTCAAATAAAAAAAGAATCATCGAAATCGGTTCACCGAGTAAAAAGTTATCAGGTAACACATAAAAAAAAACATACAGTCGAATTGAGTACCGTCTCCTTTTTGGAAGTCGGCAGATGAACAATTCCCCAAAATTTTTGGTAATCACTGAAAATCACCGATGTGTTACCACAAGACACCATGTTGAGTGATGTCCTTCTTTGGTATGTCTTGGTCATACAAAGACAAATTTAATAAATTTACTTATTTTTAAGTTATGTGTATTTGTATATTCTAGTTGTGTATATAAATTGGTCTGTATCAGAATAAAATTTCTGTCTTTTTCATTCTTTCTTCTTCTTCATTTAAGATCCGCCAAAATGGCGAACGTTTAAATGTCTTAAGATAGAAATAAATATTTTTGTTATAACTAGCTAGCCCAGCAAACGTTGTTATGCCTATTTCCTTGGTAGGTGGCGCAATAAGTTTCACTATGAATTCACTTTGGACTTTTCAAAGTGTACATAGAAAATGTATTAAAAACTCGAAACTCTACCTATCTATAATATTGAGTCCCTAAATGTATAATTTACAGAGCTGCAGACTACAGAGCCACCTATCGGATTCTAACATAGTCTGAACCATCGTCTCCATAAAACAAATAGGTTGTGTGGATATAATCTCAATCGGTCAAGTCGTTTAGAAGTTACACGATTACTAATCAATGATAAAGAAAAAATAATGAGTTTTTTTTTAATCGGATACGGTTCATGAGACGGGTGCTAAGTTTAAAAAAATTAAAAAAAAATTACGGTGAGATCTTCAATCGAAATTTAAACAGTTTAATATTTGCAAATTTCCTTACACTGATGTTGTAGTCCTGCTTACAAAAGATATAAAAAATTACAGGTTTGCTGTCCGGTTTCGTGGCCAGTGCCGACATCAGAAAGAAAATGCCTAACACCCGACGGTCACGAAGGAAAATGTATCAGCTTGAATTATTGTTCTCATCTCAATAGTATTATGACGCAACTTCCGATGTCCAATGCAGCCAAAATGTTTCTTAGAAACTCAAGGTATGTTATTTTAAACTTTATTTAATCTACTCCTCATCTATTCTGACTAGGGTTGTCAACTAAACTCACTTTACATACCGTGAAACCTGGCAACTTTGGCAGTTTTGATGGGACTAAAAGTTTAACACCAATTTTCCAACAAAAAATGTACTGTGAGCCTAGCTAGGCGTCAATGTTAAATGTGACATCATATTCTTCATAGATTTGGTATTTATTAATGATTTAAACAAATATTAACATTAAATAGACAAAATACTCAAAAATAGAAAACGGCAAAGTTACTTTGCCATCAGGGTTTATAATGAAAATAATAGGATTTTACTTCAAGGTTCAAGGTAAGTTTACCTCATTATATATTACACAATACCCAGAGTTATCATTTGCTTCTCTGTGTTGCAAATAGCAAAATTTACACTTGTGGCAAAGTTGCCTTCCCATTTTTAAATTTTTCATACAAACTTGAAAATATGTGTCAGGGTTGTCAAAAATCCTTGATTATGTACTCAACTTAATTTTTTTATTTAAATCTTGTCACAGTAATTTCTTAAGAAAAAATCAAAAATATATCAAACAAAAATACTCTCATCTAAAATTAAAAATAAAATTGGTGCAATAATAAGCTAATTTCAATTGTAGTATGGAAATAAAAAAAAAGCTTGTTACAACCATTTTTAACAAGTAGGTATTCGTTTTATTATTAGTCATCATCACATAGGTCATAATTATTGTAATCAATCTAAATATTGCTTTCCCACGATAGCAAAACATTAATAATCATTAAAAATGACAATTAATATTTTGCTTAATATCAATACCTACACTAAGTTGAAATTATGAAAAATACTGAGTAGTAATAATATTATTGATGCCCGACAACGCAGTAAAATAATATAGAATTCTCTATTCTTTTCCTTCACTTTTAATAAAGATGAATTGATTACTCATTTGGTATAATCTGTCTAATGGGCTGCTACGGTGGAACAAACATACATACAAACATATAATGTCAAGTGCAGAACACTTTATTTAAATAGTTGTAATCGGTTAAAAATATATGTTGAAAGTGACAACCCTTGGTTGTAACGAAACATGGCAAAGAAACCGTCACATTTCCAAGTTAGTTTTATAGATAAATATGAAGAACACCATGTTAAAAACGATATATTACATTTGATAACCATTCATATTACGTTACTACAAAGATATAGATACTTACATTCAGTATTTCAAAGAAAAAGAATGTAAGATCTGGAGCAGTGAACAGTGGTTATTTCGCCGGCACAATTCCGCGTTAAAATAAAATGCCAAATTAACTCTCATGTAGGCATATCGAAATCAATGCTGTGAATTAGTTATTGTACTTTCGTACGAAACATGACTTATCTCGAAAAACGTTACGTTTTTCGTGTTAATTGTAATTTTGTACCAGTACACCTCTGATGGCAAAGTTAACATCCATTGGTAAAGTTGCCAGACCTGACTGTAGGTATGTTTTATAATCTATAACACTGATACTAAATATAATGTATTACAACTAAATCCCAGACAATACACAAGGTCTCTCTGTTACCAAGTTTAAATATTTTATTAAACAAAAACTGTAAGCAGAGCAATTACAATATAAATGAATACATGGTTGACAAGAACCCCTGGAAATGAGGTATTCATTTCCAAGCTGTTTCATTAGTAAGTTTGTACAACCTGTATTTCATTGTATAATTTTACAAAAAAAAGTCCCGATTGGTTTCTCGTTGGTTTATTCCAAGACAGAGGTTTTTTCCGTTCAAGTGGTAAAAGAAAAGAAAACTTGTTATTTATCTAATATATAAAAAAATATTTTTGTTTTATTCGTATTTTGTGCGCTGCCCTACCGTTCATCAGATTGCGGTAAAACTTTGTCAACTTATTGCTTGCACTTGCGCGAAGGTTATAGGCATAGTTATAGTAGAAGGTGGCGCGTGTATCGTACCAATTTACTGACCGTGAATTTATTTAAAAGTTCTATGTCATTCAATTTCAATAAATGTATCATCATTCGTAATTAAACAATATAACTCTTTCAAATTTAAAACTATGTTTATACAATTTTTTTTTCTGCGGCTGCAGTGCGCAGCTAGTATAGGATAAAAATTATTTTATTATATTTAATAGAGTACACTAAATATGCTCTATTTACATGAACTCTCACTTTTTGCCATAAAGTTCACCAGAGCCAGCCAAAACACAAATAACCGGCCAAGTGAGAGTCGGGCTAGCGCATGAAGGGTTCCGTACCATCGTAAACACGTTTTTAGTAGGCGAGTCCTTTTAATTTTTAATATTTTAATTTTTATTATATTATAGCGACAACAGAAATATATATTTTGTAAAAATTTCAACTGTCTACCTATTACGGATCATGAGATGCTGTCATGTCTGTAATCCTAATGAAACAATTAGCCTATCTTCTACGAAAAAGTTGCTAACCCTAATACTGACTTACTTACGATTTAGCGATTGCAAATTTGCGATTTATGTTTATCCACAATCACTAGTCTGTGAAACTTGACTCTGTGCCATCAATCGGCCGCCAGATCCTCGTTCGTACCAGCCGCTTGTCTATTTCTGCCGCTAAATATCAGTGCTTGCAGTGCTGCACTCCGAATGGTATAGAGTACCAGTGTAATTACAGTATGTCAGGCATTCTATCTTAGTCCTCAGAGGTGACAACACGTCTGCAACCTTCTTTTTGTGAAGGTGGACTGTAAGTTCATTTGACAGTTCAGTTTAAAAAATTCGTCAATCAGTCGATTGCACTTTGTAGGTAAGTTTAGCATATACGAAAAATTATAATATATTTCCTTTCACAATACATTACAGATGTAACGGTCCAGCTAAAATAAGCGTATGCTGCGGCCCACCACCCACTGCAACTGCAACCACCACTACAACTGGAGCAACCACTACAACTGGAACAACGGTAACGCGGCCCGGAGAATGTACTCCATCAGCAGCTCCCCCCGACCCGCGCACCGGATGCTGTGGGCTCGATGGCGGGAACAACAATAGGATTGTTGGTAAGCCCAGTTTTGCATTCATTTTTGAGTCATGGGTCATATATACTGTTGGACACAGGCCTTCTCTCATTTCTGAGAGGGTTTAAGGCAATGTCCAACGCGTTGACCCAGAACGTATTGGCGGAGAAAATTAAAATAAATATTTTCTAGATTCTCAGACATACAAGTTTTCTCACGCAGTCGAGTAAGTGCCATCGGCACTAAAACATTGCATTTAACATTGGTGTCAGCGAGAATCAAACCCGGGTTGTTCGCGTACTGCTGAATTTATCGCGAGCGTTAAGCCTCTGAGCTATCACGGCTCTAAAGAGAGCAGTTAAAAAGGTAGTAATAATATAATATATGTATACGGCTCCGTAGGGCAGTGGCGAAGCGTTTGTTCGTGTCGCTGCGGAGCCGTGGGTTCGAAATGCTGATATATGTATTACTTTTACAATGGTTTGTAACGTTGTAAGTGTGATATATAAGCGATTGCCTAGTGGTGACGACGTAAGAGAGTCTATGCAATTCTAGAAGACTATGGGAAAACCTACAAGAAATCATGGTCTCTTATAAATGATAGTATTATATCAACTCGTACAAGGTAGATGTGAACATTCAGACGAACGGAAAACAACATCAATGGTAAGCGATAATGAGAAAAGAGATAACGGCAAATCCTACATACAATAAATATGGACAGGTCCAGCCGAAGACTGTTTACGGTCTCATACGAGGGTGACACTGAAAGTTCTTAGAAAATCTAAAACTGAACAAACTAGCAAGTTATTAGTTTTATTATATCTTTTCAAAATAGTGTCAATTTACATCAATACATCGCTGCATCCAAAAAAGCACTTTGCCCACTCGTCCTTAGGGGTCTCTTCGATGGCATTTTAAAACGCAGCCACTGAATCCTCGGCGTTCATAAAACGTTTTCCTCGAAGTTTTTCTTTTATTTTCGGAAATAAATAAAAACCGCAAGGTGCACGGTCGTGGCTATAGGGCGGGTGACCCAGTAATTCCACGTTCGACGTCGCCAAGTAGTCGACTGTTTGCTAGGCGGTGTGCGACGAGGCGTTTTCGTGGAGGATCCTACTGCGAGGTCGGTTCTCCCGAACTTTTTCCAAGACAAGTGGCAAACAATTGTAAGTGTACTCTGCAGTAACTGTTTTTCGATACTCTAAAACAATTGTTGCGTAATGACCTGTCCTTCCGAAGAACGAGGCCACCATCTTTTTTCCCACCTCTCTTCACTTTAGTTGGCAACTCCTCGGTAGGAAACACCCAGATAGCAGACTGTCTCTTAGTTTCAAGATCATAACTATAAATCCAGGTTACGTCACCCGTAAGTATGTCGAACACAGCATTTGAGTCACCTCCTCAATCCAAAAGATCAATCTTTGAACCATTTCACGCCACCAATCAACACGACGGAGTTTTTGGGCTTCTGTCAAATTATAACTATAAATACAGGTTTCGTCACCCGTAAGTATGTCGAACACAGCATTTGAGTCACCTCCTCAATCCAAAAAATCAATCTTTGAACCATTTCACGCCACCAATAAACACGGCGGAGTTTTTGCGCCTCTGTCAAATTATGAGGTATCCACCAGGCACAAAGCTTCCAGACCACTAAATGTTCATGGAAGATTTCGTGCACTTGACTCATACCAATGCCTAAGCTTGTCCGAATCTGCCGATAAGTCACTCTTTTGTAAATCTCTATCATACGCCGCACAACTCTGATATTATTTTCAGTCGTCGCCGTAGAAGGATGTCCCTCAGGCAGATGATCGGTGAGATTAGTGCGACCACGTTTAAACTCCTTAAAACAGTTGTAAACAGTGGCACGAGATGGTGCTTCATCGTGAAGTCTATCATAACTTTCTTGTTGACTTAAATGACATCGAAAGTCATAAAAATCATTATACGAAAATTTTCTCGCGTTAAATTCATGCTGACATGACACAGACAATTTTCAATTTGCCACCAAATCGTAAACAAGTGACAAATTAATAAAATACATACACAATAATATTAGCAAAGAGTTCCATTTTCAAAATTTGAACTTATTTTTTTATTATATTGTTTACAAGTGGCCAGTTCTAAAAACTTTCAGTGTCGCCCTCGTAGAGATGAAGACGAAGAAGAAAGTGTATAAACCCTTGTAAAGGATCAAAGTCCACTGCAAAATATAGGCCTCCCAAAAAATTGCCTCATAAGGGATCCCCCTTGTGCCATAATTACCACGCTTGGCAGGCGGGTTATTAGGCGGGTAGTTGTTAATAGGATGACACTGCTGCCCACCAGGTTTGTTTCCTTTTGCCGCTTCTTACGGCACCGACGAGACGATATAGGTTAGTCAATATTCTTACATCGCGACTACACGACGCGAAAGAAGGTATCAATGATAACTAATGCAAATCACTGCGAATAATGTTAATATTTATAAAAAGTAAACAATTTATAACATTCCAAATAATAAAGAAATTTGAAAATTGTACAAAAATTGTATTGTGTATTACAGGAGGAAATGAAACGGCAATAGACCAGTATCCTTGGTTGGCGCTCATCGAGTACACAGACGGCTCACGGATCAAACTGCTCTGCGGTGGAGTTTTAATCAGTGGGAGATACGTGCTTACCGCAGGCCACTGCGTCACCGGGGCTGTACTTGATGTAGGGACACCGTAAGTTACTTTGTTAATTTGTGGCACACCTTAAGTTACTTCGATAATTTGTGAGACACGGTAAGTTAATCGGTTGATTTCTGGGACACCGTAAGTTATTTGGTTAGTTTGTGGATCGCCGTAAATTACTTTCTTAATTTATAGTCGCGCAAATTCCTACCGTCTGATGCTTTTATGCTACAGACAACTAGTGTCCCTATAGCCAATAAATAATTGTTCCGGTTCCTTATCTGGATGTTTGTCCATTTATGCATGTCAAACGACTCCACGCTACAGAAGTAATTTCAATTGTGGGGTTAAAGGCATTAATAAATAAGATATTATTTACCACAAGAAATTACGACGTCAGTTACTCATTATCCTTGTCATACAATTTTAACAGAAAAGCTATAAAAATACTTCAGTTCACTTGAGTATCCGTAGGTACCCAATAATTGTAATTAATAGTATAGTTAAGGTTAAGGCAAGGACAGAAGCACTTTTTGATACCTTCTTGACTTTTTGGAACTTTTAACTTACTAACATTAAATGCAATGCAATTGCAAAAAGAAGCGAATTGATTAATAAACAAACATTAAACAGTGATAGGGGATAAACATTTATCAACGAATCTGTCAAACATAAAAACTGTAACATAAGTAAAGCCGTAAGTTATCAGTAATTAGGTAACAGCCATACCGGAGATTCGGTCACAACAAAAACAAACAGTTTTCAAATTGTCGTTACACTGTGTCAAAGCGATAGCGGGATTAGATTGTTATTTATTAAACTCTTGAGAATCGTACCTTAAATGACGGTTTTTGATGGTAAAAAAATTACCTTTGTGTCAGTTCGTCTACTCGAAGTTAAAGTGGTTACTTTGAGATTAATGTAAATCTTCCTTATTTATAATATGCATATAATTCAATACTAAGAAAAATAAATCACGACCTCGGAAATATAAACTTGTAATGGACTGCGATACTAGAGTACGCTTCGTCACGTAAGCACGCAACAGTCGATTATAGAAAATGTCAGAAAAGATCTCATAGTTTCCGATAGATATTTTTATTTTATTTTTTTCACCTGGTAAGTGGATGTGTGTGGCACCATAAACATCTACATTTACCATCGAACTAAGATGGAATGCCTCGTTTCCAATAAAAAGGGTATCCAGTTCTCTACACTCACCGTACAAAACACAGCAGTATTAAGCTGCTATTTCACGCAGGTATTCTGTGAGAGCGTGGTCCTTCCTCGGTGGACTACCTCGTTGGTCTAGTGGCTGTAGTAGTGCGACTGCTGATCATGAGGTCCCGGGTTCGAATCCCGGGTCGGGCCAAAAAATCAGTTATTGAGTTTTTCTATCAAGAAATTCTTAGTAGCTGCCCGGAGTCAGGAAGTTGGCGGTGTCTCACCCCCGTGCCTCGGAAAGCACGTTAAGCCGTTGGTCCTGCGCCTGATCTCTCTCCGGTCGTGTCGGTTTACCGTCCCATCGGACTATGAGAGTGAGGGAATAGAGAGTGCACCTGTGCTTGCGCAAACACTTGGGCACTATAATCCTGTCCTGCGCAGATGGCTAGTCTCCGTTGAGACTGGCCGCCGTGACCGAAATTCGGTCTGGAGGACATTATTATTAACACATCTGCATTTTGATTCTTTATTGAGGATAGATGTAGCTGTCTATGGGACACATCAAGCACTTACCATCAGGTGGACTGTGTGCTCGTTTGTCACCCTATCCTATAAAAAAATACATATGTAGTTTTATTCAAACCGATGTCAATTTTTCGCAGAATCAATGTACGACTTGGCGAATATGATATAACGAATCCTGGGCCCGACTGCGTGGAAGTCGAAGGAGGCGGTAACGACTGCACGGCTGGTGTTTTAATACTGCCGATCGAACACCTCATTCCTCATCCAAACTACAGTCCGGGTAGCAGACTACGAAGGAACGATATTGCTTTGATCAGAATAAGTCAGACGGCTCCGTATACAGGTGACGTATTTAATCTACTAGTGATACTAGTAATAAGTCTACGCTGGTTAGCAACATTATACTCGTAAGCATTAAATTTGAAAATGGAATCGGATTAATGGAGGTGAAAGAAAGAAATACAGATAAGAAAAAAATATTTACTATGACACGTCACATCTCATCATCAGTCTTTTACGTTCATCGCTGGACAAGGCTTTTCCAAGAACGTGCTAACTGACAAGCATTACTTAGAACATTTATTAGTACAAGAAATATAAAAGCTTTAATCAATATAAATTATCATTATTGCAGCCCATTACAAGTCCACTGCACATAGGCATCCCCCAAGGAATGTCAAAAAGCACGGTCCCGAGTCAAATGCATCCATTGACTTCCTGAAAATTATAAATAATACTAATTATTTTTATTAATAAAAACTGATTTAGAAAATACCCTCTCTAATATCTCCTCTTAGGACGGGGGATTACTTTTTAAACAGTTTATAATAATAAACTACGTTGTACAATTAATTCTACAAATCATTAGAAAAACAGCTTGGTTGCGACTATCATCATTATATCATCTCATTGCATTATGGGGGGGGGGGGGGTATTTTCATATATATTTTAATACAATTTTTCTACCGATTTCAAAAATAATCAATTCGACTGTATGTTTTTTTATGTGTGCTACCTCACAACTGTTTACTGAGTGAACCGATTTCGATGATTCTTTTTTATTTGAAAGCTGGTACTTCACACGTGGTCCCATATAAATTTGATCAAGGTCTGACCAATAGTTTTTGCGTAATTCTTAATAATTTATATTGAAGTCGGTTGTACAAAATGTTTAATTTTAAAATATAGTTATTTTAAATTGGCGATAGACAAAGTGCTGGGATTTGTTATAAAAGCGATTCATGTGAAACATGAATCATAAATGAGTTACTGAGTTTTAGAGTCAAATAACTAGTATTAAAAGCGTGTGTCATGGTCTTGATTTATTGTTTTGTAATTAAGAATATGTACGTCATAATATGTACATATATTTATTTATTTTTTTATAGGAGAGGGGGCAAACGAGCATGCGGCTCACCTGATGGTAAGTGACTACCGCCGCCCATGAACAACTGCAACACCGGGGGAATTGGAGATGAGTTGCCGGCCTTTAAAATCCTTTTTATCAAATACAAATACTAATTTGTGCTTATAATATATAATTGTTGCTTATTTGATCAGGCATCCAAAACACACTAAACTTGAAGTTCAGAAATCGGTGATTTTGTTTTAAAAAACTGAACTGACAAACGAACTTACAATTCATCTGATTGCAAGTGGCCACTTAAGTCCATGGACACCTGCAGCCAACTTCAAACAAAGAAGGCTACAAATGCGTTGTCACCACTGAGGACTAAGATGGAGTGCCTCAAAGCTTGTAACTTTACTGGCTCTCAAAACCGATAGTATCGAATGTGGCGGCGGGTATAAGATTATCAAATAAAAATAATGGACAAAAGTTTTACCAATGCGATGTAATTAGCTTTGCAAGCAACTATCCGCCTGCCCAATAAAATGAGTAAGTCCATATCATCCAGAAAATTTATTAAAAAGCTTAATGTCGAGTAATGGATTCAAAAACCTAGTGATATAATATGAAGCACTCAACCTAATTGAGATTTGTCCACGTAACATACACTAAGTACTCGATTGGACAAATATTTTCCCAACCTTGAGTAAAACTAATGCTTTTCTCATGATATCATGTCGCTAACATAATGCTGATGTGTTTTTTTTTATATTTACAATAATCTGATTGATTTAGTATAACCAATAAGTTATAGTTTCAACTAGAAGTTATAGTGTTGGTGGAACACTCGCAAAAATATTTCGATTATTAAATGTCGATTAGACAGAGCGTTTAACTAAGCCGAATATTGAACCCTGCGAGGAACACATATTTGTATGGACTAAAAATAATAATTGTTCTAGAGCTGGATGATTATCCTGGATTTCTTATATTAACGCGAACACGACACATTAAATAAAACTAATCCGTTTTATTTAATGTGTCGTGTTTTGTGCCGTGTAGTGGCGGTCAAGAATATCCACTACCCCATATCCTCCCGTGGGTGTCGTAAAAGGCGACAAAGGGAAACAGCCAGGAGATGGGCAGCAGCATCTTCCTGATAATAGCCAAATGACAATAAAAAAAACTGCGGTTGCCAACCCGCTCGCCAAGCGTGGCAACTATGGCAAATACCCCCCAATGATGAGAGCAACAAAAAAACGGCCCCCAGTCCCCGGCGGCCCCGCTATTCCTGGCTACGGTGGCGACCATGGTAACGGCGGGGCAGGGGGTGCTAAGAATCTCCGGTGGAGGTTCGGTTGCCACCTTAGACGACTCGACCTGGCAACGTACAACGCACGTACCCTGAGGACTGACGAGAAGATCGTGGAGCTGGAAGAAGAGATAGACAAGTTGCGCTGGCATATTATAGGATTATCTGAAGTCCGAAGAGAGGGGGAGGACACGGTAATCCTCGAATCCGGCAACTTGCTCTATCACCGGGAGGGCGACCATCTGTCCCAAGGAGGTGTCGGATTTATCGTCCACAAGTCTCTCGTTAACAACGTTGTAAAAATCGGGAGTGTGTCGACGAGGGTTGCGTACCTTATACTCAGAATCACCAAACGGTATTCGCTGAAGGTCATACAGGTTTACGCACCAACCTCGGCACACCCCGATGAGGAGGTGGAGGAAATGTATGAGGATATCTCTAGAGCCATGCATTCCTCCAAAACACAATATACGGTGTTAATGGGAGACTTCAATGCAAAACTAGGCACAAGAGAGAACGGTGAGCTGAAAGTAGGGAAATTTGGAATAGGGCAACGGAACCCAAGGGGCCAGCAGCTGGCCGACTTCATGGAGAAAGAGGGACTCTTTATGATGAACTCTTTCTTCCAGAAGCGGCCCCACAGGAAGTGGACCTGGTCGAGCCCCGACGGTTCCACAAAAAATGAGATTGACTTCATTATGACGACCAGACGACAACTGTTCAGTGATGTCTCCGTGATCGCGAGGGTGAAAACTGGTAGCGATCACCGAATGGTTAGAGGCACACTGAACCTAACGTTAAGTTGGAGAGGTCTCGTCTAATGAAGTCAACGCTCCGTCCCCCTCGTGCTCTGTTTCAAAGTCCCGAAACCTTTCAGCTCGAGTTACAAAACCGTTTTCAGTGCCTAGAAGACTGCAATGAAGTGGACGATATGAATGACAAGCTCGTGGAAACTGTCCATGCGGTTGGAGCTAAGTTCTGCAAGACCCGCCGCAGAAGAACACAAAAACTCTCCGATCACACTCTTAATCTCATGGCTGTTAGACGGGAGATGAAGCTACATTCTTCAACAGACTTGACAGCATACAGGCATCTGAACAGACAGATCTCCAAATGCATGCGGCGGGACTTACGCAACTTCAATACAGCTCGTATTGAAGAAGCGATCGAGCGGAACCAAGGCTCCAAAGTCTTTGCCAGAGATCTGTCTGCCAGAAAGAGCCAACTGTCAAAGCTGAAGACAGAATGTGGCAGCATCGTTTCCGGGACACCTGAGATTTTGAGTGAGATTGAGAGGTTCTATGGGCAGCTGTACACATCATCGTTGGAGCCACACGCAAGTGTGAGTAACGATCCAAGAGCGAGTCTCATCCGACACTATTCCGAAGATATCCCGGATGTCAGTCTGAGCGAGATTAGGATGGCTCTCCAGCACCTTAAAAACGGTAAGGCCCCAGGCGAGGATGGAATTACAGCGGAGCTTCTGAAAGCGGGTGGAAGACCGGTACTTGAAGTCCTTCAGAAGCTCTTTAATTCCGTCCTCCATGGTGGCATTACACCGGAGGCGTGGAGCAGAAGTGCGGTGGTCTTGTTCTTCAAGAAAGGTGACAACGCTCTCTTGAAGAACTACAGACCGATTTCCCTTCTGAGCCGCGTCTACGTGCTGTTTTCGAGAGTCATTACGAATCGTCTCGCGCGCAGACTTGACGACTTCCAGCCTCCCGAACAAGCCGGTTTCCGAAAGGGCTTTAGCACCATAGACCACATACATACCCTTCGGCAAGTTGTACAGAAGTCCGAAGAGTACAATTTGCCACTATGTCTGGCGTATGTGGACTATGAGAAAGCCTTTGATTCCGTCGAAATTTGGGCGGTGCTGCAGTCCCTTCAGCGGTGCCAAGTTGACTGTCGGTATATCGAAGTGTTGAAGTGCTTGTACAGTAGGGCTACGATGGCTATCCGAGTACAGAACCAGAGTACGAAACCTATCCAATTGCAGAGAGGTGTAAGACAGGGTGACGTCATATCCCCGAAACTCTTCACCGCTGCATTGGAAGACGTTTTCAAGCTTCTGGACTGGAAAGGATACGGTATCAACATCAATGGCGAGTACATCACTCACCTTCGATTTGCCGACGATATAGTCCTTATGGCAGAATCGCTGGAGGACCTAAGCACTATGCTCAATGACCTCAATAGTGTTTCCCAACGGATAGGTCTTAAGATGAACATGGACAAAACTAAGATCATGTTTAATGTCCATGTCACACCTATGCCGATAGTTGTTGGGAACACTAAGCTCGAAGTTGTTGACGAGTATGTTTACCTGGGACAAATAGTCCGACTGGGTAAGTCCAACTTCGACCGAGAGGTCAATCGACGGATTCAACTCGGCTGGGCAGCGTTCGGGAAGCTACGACACATCTTCTCGTCAGACATACCTCAAAACCTTAAAACGAAATTGTACAACCAGTGCGTGTTGCCAGTGATGACTTACGGAACTGAGACGTGGTCCTTCACTGCTGGCCGTATGAGGAAGCTCAAGGTCGCTCAGCGAGCTATGGAGAGGGCTATGCTCGGAGTTTCTCTGCGTGATAAACTTAGGAATGAGGATATCCGCAGTAGAACCAGAGTGACCGACATAGCCCAACGGATTAGTAAGCTGAAGTGGCAGTGGGCCGGCCATATATCTCGAAGAACCGACAACCGATGGGGAAGAAAGGTTCTCGAGTGGCAGCCTCGTACCGGTAGGCGAAGTGTAGGGCGTCCCCCCACGAGATGGAGTGACGACCTGGTAAGACATGCAGGAAGTCGATGGATGCAGATGGCTCAGGACCGTGTTTTGTGGCATTCTTTGGGGGAGGCCTATGTTCAGCAGTGGACTTGTGAAGGGCTGTAATGATGATGATGATGAATCCGTTTCGGATTTTATCACGGTTGATCAACTTTTTTTTATATTCCGACGTATCGAGTACTTTACTGCACCCCGGGGGATATGGGATTATTAAACGTAACATGATATGGATGCTGCAAAGTGCGAATATAAAATAAATTGATTGAACGCGATAAAACCCGTACAGAAACTAGTTTCATTCAATAATGCTACCGTTATTTTATAGTGCGTGTCGAGAATAAGCTAGAATATTTTTATTCAAATAGTTTATTATTTAATAAAAACTTATCCACTGTTACAAAAAATGCTGCAGCTCTAGAAAAAATCAGGATATAAACCCTAGGCTATTTTGGAGAATCAATTACTATCAGCGTGATATACTTAAGCAATAACACACCCACGAGTATATCTGGTTCATATACAACGGTCGTCGAGTGGGTTGTAGTTTCTTTCCTCCCAATTCATCAATCCATTACCATTCAATTTCCAATACAGCCTATAAAGTCCACAGCTGAACATAGGCCTTCTCACAGATTGCCTTATATTGCAATAGTTGCCACACTTGGCAGGAGAGTTAGGAACCGCAGTTTTTTTTATAGTTTCAAGTTGTTATCAGGAAGACGCTGCTGTTCATCTCCTGTTTCAGTTTCCCTAGACGCACCTTACGACATCCACAGAAATATATGGGGTACTTGATATTCCTACACCGCTACCACATGGTTGATACATTAATTCATCAATGAGGGGTATCCACTTTTTCTACCACCAGGGCGGCGCCACTTAGGAATGAGATGAAACATTTGACAGATTTCATGGCGGGGGAAGTAATTTATTCGGAAATTGTTGCTTTCTAAAATTATTTATTTTATATTAATTAGATTAGAAATGAACAAACAAAACTACGAATATTCCTAAAAGTAAAAAAAAAAAAATTTAAAAAGAGAGTAAAATATGTGCAAAAAATTAAAGAACGAACCACTGAGTTGACGGCTCGGAGGCGCAGAGACTTAGCAATCCTCTCAAAATGGTCAAAAAACTTAAAAAATATATATTTTAAAGTAAACGCTGACTTATAGAACTTAAAAGAATAAAATCATTATGAATACATGGCTCCGTAGCGCAGTCACTTGTTGAGCTGGGGGCCGCGGGTTCGAATCCCGCACGGAATAAGTATTTGTATAGCCTACAAATAATTGTTGCGGGTATGGATGTTTGTCCTTGTGTAATTTGTGTTTGTACTACCTCCACGATACAGGAGAAAATCCTAGTGTGGGGGTAACGTTTAAAAAAACTGATTCTGTATTGTATAATTACATACTCTAGAAACCGATAAACTTCTAAATTTTAATGATATTATGCAACGAATAATATCACCTCAGTCCCAACTAGCGACGTCTGATGAGTGGAAAATTATTAACAATGTTTTATTTTAAGTTATATATATTACTTCAATGTTTTATGGCTTTCAGATTTCATTCGTCCCATTTGCCTACCGACTACGGATATAACGATATCACCACGTTCTGATACGAGGCTGTACGTGGCTGGTTGGGGCGCAGTCGACACGGCCAGGAGCAGCAGCGATAAAAAAATGCACGTCGATCTACCCTACATTTCGCGGAATGTAAATACAACTTTTTTTTAAATTATTCAACACTGCGTTTCGACTACAAACGCAAGCACAGGTGCACTCTCTAAATTATCATACTCATAGTGCGATGGAACGGCAATCAGACAAGACCGGATTGAGATCAAGTGCAGGACTAACGGGTTAACTTGCTTTTCGAGGCACGTGAGTGAAACACCGCCAACCCAAAAAATTAAATTTTAAACGTAAATATTAAATACCTTAGGATCCCTGTACAGCTACGAAGCTACTACTTTACCGTGTAGTGTCGGTGTAAGAATATTGGATATAAGGATATAATAATAAGAAGAATTGTGCGGATTAATTCTAGCCGCCAAATTTCACGTACTCACATCGCGTCAAAATTCACGATACCTCACCATCTGGATGCTTGGCGGTCCACGACTGTGCGTTTTACTAGGAGTTTTCTTCCTCGTACAACTTCTCTGTGGAATTCTTTACCACCGGCGATTTTTCCGGACCGATACGACTTAGGGACCTTCCAGAAAAGAGCTTACACCTTTCTAAAAGGCCGACAACGCATCTGCAATTCCCCTGGTGTTGCGGTTGTTCATGGGCGGCGGTAATCGCTTACCATCAAGTGAGACGCATGCTCGTTCGCCCCTCTTCTATAAAAAAAAATATCCACCACCCCATATCATCCTGTAGGTGTTGTAAGAGGCAACAAAGGGAAACAAATCAGGAGATGGGCAGCAGTGTCTTCCTAATAACGACTAAAAATAAAAAAATAAACTTACTTAAGACGCTTACCAAGCGTCGTCACTATGGCAAATACCCCACCCACTCCCTATGAGGGAGGGATCTATGGGGGAGGCCTATGTTCAGCAGTGGACTTTAATAGGCTGTAACAATAAATGCTTACTTTGGAACAAGCACAAGTTAGTTATACCAGTTACTCGATTCCAAAGGTCAGTAATTCCTTCATGCAGCAATGTATACGCTTTTACAACGAAGTCCCAGCAAATATGCAAAACCTTTTGTAAATAGAATAAGGGTGACAAACGGGCACTCAGTCAACCTGATGGTAAGTAGTTGCTGTGGCCCATAGACATAGTACATCTATCTTCGTTTGCCAATCAAAATGCAGATGCGTTGTCACCCATGAGGACTAAGATGGAATGCCTCTTTTCCAGTAAAAAGGGTCTCCGGCTCGCTACACTCACCATGCCTCATTTGGTTTAAATTAATTATTAAGCAAAAATTGTCTTGTAAGGGTTATTATACTACTAAAGAATACATGACTGATAATAACCCCTGGGAATGAGGGGATCGCTACCTTGCTGTTTCTAAATGTTTTCATAACAATTGTATAAAATATTATATTGTAAATTGTGTTTTTTTTTTAAATAACCCGCTGGGTTACTTACTGGTTCTTCCCAGGACAGAGGTTTTTTTTTGCGAACCAGTGGTAAAAGTAAAAAATAACTTTCAATAATTATTATGCACTATAATCTATATTGAATAAAAATTATTCTATTCTATTCTATTCTATTTTGTCATTACAGGAATGTGAAGCAATATACAGTCAGCCGCAATTAAACATGGCTTTATGGAAGGGACAGATATGCGCCGGGGGCGAGATTGGAAAGGACTCGTGCAAAGGAGACTCCGGCGGTCCGCTGATGTACGAGAACGGACGACTCTACGAGGTGGTCGGCATAGTGAGCTTCGGCCCGACTCCCTGTGGCCAACTTAATATACCCGGTGTTTATACCAAAGTTTATGAATACCTACCATGGATTCGTAGCCAGATCAAGCCGTAGACGTTTTAAAGTAGAAGTAATTTAAATTTTAATGACTGACCAACAAAACAATAAATATATTTAATAATTAATGTATTTAATTCTTTTATTTTAAATACTAATGGTATATTTTAAAAATAAGGATTTTATACTATGGCAAACGTTTTTCGGCGCCAGTAAAACTAAATTCATCAACCCATCTTATCCCATGACTATTGTAGGAGGCGAATTTGGAAATGCTCGGACGATCTCATAACCTCCTAGAGATGACGCTACTATATCAATCATATTGTAGAAAGGTAAAGTTAGACCCTATATATATGTCGCACTTTTTTTTTATTGGATAAGGGTGACAAACGAGCGCACAGTCCACCTGATGGTAAGTGGTTGCTGCGGCCCATAGACATCTACATCTATCCTCTGTTACAAATCAAAATGTAGATGCGTTGTCACCCCTGAGGACTAAGATGGAATGCCTCATTTCCAGTAAAAAGGGCCTCCGGTCACCTGCACTCACCAAGCGAAACGCAGAGGTAAACCTCTACTTCACGCTGGTTTTCTGTGAGGTCGTGGTACTACCCCGGTTCGAGCCGGCCCATCCGTGCGACAGCAAAAGCTGCCGCGTGGCTCTAACACTGTTACTTCTGGGCACAGGCCTTTTCTCACTTCTGAGAGGGTTTTAGGGCAAGTAAGTGGCCGCCGCGCTGCCCCAATTATTATTGCGTATTAGCGTACTTCACATGTCTTCGAAATATTTTTTTAATTCTTTTTTTTTGAGATTTCCTCACGATGTTATCCTTCACCGCGGGGCACATGGTAAATCAGCACTTAAAATTGCAAGTAACAATTAAATTGGTGCCGGCGGGGATCGAACCCGGGTTGCTCGCGTACTGTGAATATTACAGCGAGCACTTAGCCCCTGAGCTACCACGGCCATATCATATTCGCCAGATGTAAAATACTCGGACCGGTTACGGGTAGTAGCGTTATAGGTGCGAGACATTTAAGGAAGTAGATTCTAATTATAATAGTACATGCCCGCTATACGAAAATATTAAATCAAATCTGCTAGATGGCAGGATACCATATTTGCCTAGGAGCCTGTATGGTTAGGTGCCACCCTTTTACTAATTTATGTATATCATATATGCCAGATGTAAAATACACAGACCGGTGACGGTTAGTAGCTTATTTGTATTATTAGTTTAGATACGAGACATCTAAAGAAGAAAGTTCTTATACTAGTACAGCCGTTCTTACGATAAGTGCAATAACTCTGGTTTTTGGGCTTATTGACTTAAGTACATATCCGTAATCAGAAAAATGAGCTCTACATTTTCTCCTTAGACGTCTTTTTTGTATTTACAGTAGATTTGGTTCTTTTTAGATAAGCATAACTGCAATATTTAACATTACCATGTGTATGTTGCATATCATTAACGAAATAACTTGAGTTATGGCATAGTTAGCTATAATATTTTGTAATATTACTTTAGATTACCGCAATAAGACCAGTTAATGCACTTATGATTAGCGCATTTTTTTTTTCAATTAAGGGGAACATTTACTAGTCTTTAGCACAACAAGTAAGAGTTATTGCAGATATGTTAAGGAATCTTAGTATTTAAAATTTTAAAGTTATAAAATCTAATAATAACAAATAAAGTTAGTGCAATTTTTTGAAGGAAAAACATGCAAGATTTGTATGGACGTACGTACTAAATGGCAATTTGTCTTCGAGTAATTGCGGTTATGAGTAGTAGTGAGCGCGAGGGGTGTGACTTGAGAAGTGATATTGCTTCGCACGTAAGAGGTTCGTCGCGGCGCACTAAGCGAGCGATATCCTATCGAACGATAGCATTTCATTCATAACCAGTTAAATCTTCAATCTCAATTCAAGATTCTGACGCTGATATAATGACGTTGCCTGCTATTCAAAAAGAATCAATTTCTGTAGATTTAAATCAATTCTGGTCGCGTCTTCCAGATTACAACGATTTTAAAACAGTTTTTAAAATCGTTGTAATCTGGTTATTTTAATATTGTTCGAAATATAGATCTTAATATTTTTGTTTCTAAAACTCAACAAAGAGAAACAGCCTGTTACTCCTTCCTTCATTCATCCTTCCATGACAATCAAATCCCTGGGTATGGTGGTTTTAATGCTAACTTTGCATCAGCGCTTTTTTTCTTCTGTTTGGTACATTCTCGTATAGTAGCCATATAGTAGTATAATAGCCTTCCATTGTCCGACAAAGATGATTGTGACAATAGTAAAGTTAATATGTTGGAGGACTCCGACGATAGCGTTAAAGAACCTACCAAACGCGAGAATGTACCAAACAGAAGAAAAAAGCGCTGATGCAAAGTTAGCATTAAAACCACCATGTGATGATAAACGTAGAAAAAAGTGTAAGTATGACAAAGTTTACAGAAGAAATTTGAACAGGTATCCATGATCAGTACGTCAATTTAAGTTGAGAGTCCATAGAGTTGTTTATAAAAGCCATATACCGTAAAAACACGAACAAAAAAAATGCGAGTGTCGTGGAACACTCGGTTGAAAGGAAGTTCCTTCCTTAGTATATTATTATTGATAAACATATTATATTAATGATTAACAAATATAAATAAATAAATTAGTAGCGTCTATTAAAACGAAGAGTCATTTAAAATAAAATAATATTTCTTTCATGGCAAGATAAGAAAAAGTGCGAGAGAGATTTCATTATTTAATTAGACAAAAACATAATTAAAGAACATATTCAAAGTTTAATTTAATTAGTTTTAATTACCCGGTGATTTAAATATAACAATGATCCCCCAATATTTTATAGAGAAATATATATAAACAGATATCTCTCGAAACATAACGCAAGGTTGTAAACGAAATAAACGTTTCTTTTGGTCATCTCGGTCATGAGGAATGCGAGTAGTGTGCTCTACATAATTCTCGTAATAAATGGTCTCAAGAAAGTTGTGAACTGTGTAATATGAAAAACCAAGTTGCACTACACACAAACTAGTGAAAAATACCAAAACTACAAGAAAGCATTTTCTATCGACAACGATTATATTTACTTTCCTAAAGCTGTTATTATATGATTTGAGTAATAGAAAACACTTCAAGTAGTTTGAAAAGATTTTTATTGTTTATTTTTAGGGAGTAAAGTAATGTTTTTGTACCATTTTTCTCAACAGTTTCTTTAATAAATCAATATTTTCATTTGTTTCAATCATTTTTATATACATTTATAATATTCTTGCAATCAACCACCGTTGCATTGTGTCTGATTAAAATATTTTAGTAATGAAAACCGCAATAACTAAGACATTTATTGCATTTATGGTTGGAAGAAACTACAGGACATACAGTTTATGCTCTAATTTAAAGAGCAATTTGTCGGTTTACTAACGATAACTGCAATAAGTAGTCTACTTATTGCGGTTATGATTAGTTACGCTCTATCAAAACAATTAACACTCCTAAAGATGTGTATAAAAATATAATATACTACATAGTAGTAGTATGTATATAAATGTGGTAAAAAATATAATATACTACATAGAATTCTGCATCATTTTATCTGTCATATAGTAAAAGTTTCAAGTCACTAGCTTTCATAGTTACGAAGATACACACAAAACAAAAATAAAACTTTTAACTGCGATTATCTCGAAAGTAGCCAAAACCTAGTTATTGCACTCTTTGTAAGAACGGCAGAGTAGTATCTACGTGTCCACTATACGAAAATATTAAATCAAATCTACTAGATGGTAGGATTCCTCTTTTGTCTTGACGTCAGTATTGGTAGGTACCACCCCCGTTTAGCAGTGCCGGCACTGCTTTATTCTTTTTTTTTTATAGGAGAGGGGGCAAACGAGCATGCGGCTCACCTGATGGTAAGTGATTACCGCCGCCCATGAACAACTGCAACACCAGGGGAATCGCAGATGCGTTGCCGGCCTTTTAAAAAGGAGTACGCTCTTTTCTTGAAGGTCCCTAAGTCGTATCGGTCCGGAAAAATCGCTGATGGTAATCGATTCCACAAGGAGGTCGTGCGAGGAAGAAAACATCTTCTAAATCGCACAGTGGTGGACCGCCAATCATCCAGATGGTGTGGATGGTATCGGGAGTTCTGCCGCGATGTGCGTTCGTGAAATTTGGCGGCTGGGATTAATCCGAACAATTCCTCAGAGCACTCCCCATGGTAGATGCGAAAGAAAATGCAAAGGGATGCAACATCTCTTCGCAGTGCCAATGAATCGAGCCGATCGGAAAGGGCTCGGTCGTCGACAATTCGAGCCGCTCTGCGTTGGATGCGGTCAAGTGGAAGGAGCTGGCACTGGGGAGCCCCTGCCCAGAGATGGGAACAGTATTCCATGTGAGGCCGAACTTGCGCCTTGTAAAGTAGCAGGCGGTGTGCCGGCATGAAATACTGTCCCGCTCTGCTGAGCACGCCAAGCTTTTTAGAGGCCAATTTGGCCTTCCCTTCCAAGTGACCACGAAACTGCACGTCACTCGATATGTCGACTCCGAGGATACCGATACTGGCTGAGGCAAGAAGGGGAGTGCCTTGAAACTGAGGAGATACGACAAAGGGGTTCTTTTTAGCGGTAAACGCGCAAACTTGTGTCTTCTGAGGATTAAATTGGACTAGATTTAGTCGCCCCCAATCCGAGACTTTGTTCAGCAAAGACTCGACTTCAGACACAAGTTTGTTCCGGTACTCAGCGACGTTTTCCCGAGAAATATTGGCACAGCCGGTGTATAGAGCATCACCAGTGCTGTCATCCGCATAGCAATGAATGTTACCAGTTAGCAACATATCATTGATATGCAGAAGAAACAGCGTTGGTGATAGCACACAGCCTTGTGGAACACCAGCGTTAATAGGCTTGTAGTCAGAGCATGCACCGTCTACAACGACCTTGATGCTCCGATCTGCAAGGAAGCTGGTGATCCAATTGCACAATTTCTCGGGAAGCCCATAGGAAGGGAGCTTCGAAAGAAGCGCTTT